AATAGCATCTTTAATAATATTAACTTTACTTTCTTTAGTTAATTCAATATTATCTATTGTATTAACAATTTTTTCTTTAAATTCTAATTTATATTTTTTTATTTTCTTGACTATTTTGAGTTTTAATTCTTCTTTTATTTTGTTGAAGCGGTGGTAAAATCTGACCCATTTTAATAATTTCTTCAATTTCATATTCAGTAATATACTCTTCGTTATTAAGATCTTCTTTGTTCTGAATTTGAACAGATTTAGGAATTTGAACAATTGTTGTTTCATTATTTTGAGTAGTTAAAGAATTTTTTGAATGTAAAAGTTGATTTATTTCTTTGATTTGTTTGCTTCTTTCTTTATGTTTATTTATCACTAATTGATACAAATTTTTATAATAGTTAGCAAAATGCTTTTTAAGATTCGATAAATTTGTATCGATAGAATAATTAGCTTCATATTCATTGCAAATAAGTCTTGTTTTAAGAGTATTATTATGAAAGTAGTTGCAGATTTCATGTGTATTATGCATTTTTTCTTTAATTTTTAATTTATTTATCATGTTATTTTATAGTTTTTTGATTATGTATTTCATTTAAAGAATTTATTAGCAAGAAGCTAAAAAGTTTTTCTGTTAATAATTCTATGAAAGGAAATTCCTAAATTGTAAAAAGATTTTCTGTAAGAATTTAAGAATTTTTTGATAAGGATTATTAATCTAAATTCTAATAACACACCAATCATTTTAAGCTTATTTTTTTTTATATATGTTGAGGTTTTTTTTGATCTTAAATGTTTAAAGAACGTAAATTTTTTTTTAAACTTGGAAACTTACAAACAATTAAACGAAAAACAATGTCTCTTAAAAAAACATATATTGAAGAAGAAATTTATATTGAATCTTGTAAGTAAAATAAAAAGCTTAAACGAGATTTGAAAGAATGAGATAAAAAATTGGATGACGAAAAGAAAAAGTATCAGAGAAAAGAAGAAACATATCAGAAAATTATTTCTAATTTACAAAATGAATTAGAAAATAGAAATTCTACTATTATAGAATTAATTGAGCGTTATGTTTATTTTAATACACATTTTGGCAAATTATTTGAGATTTGTCAAAGTTTATATGAACAAGATGTTTTAAACAAAATTAACGAATCGGTTAGTACTGATTTAGAAGTTTATCAACAAGAAAAAGAAGTTCAACAAGAAAAAGTTATTTATTAACAACAAGAAGAAGAAGTTCAACAAGAAAAAGTTATTTGTCAACAACAAGAAGAAGAAGTTGTTTATCAACAAGAAGAGACTGACGATGAATTAGATTATAATCCAGATACAGAATAGTTAAATTATTTGGAAACTGAATATTAGTTAATGATTCAGAATGTATTGTTTAAATAAATTTTTATCTTGTATATTTATTCATAATTAAATAAATAAAACAAAGAAAATATAATTTTATTTTAGGGTTATATAATTTAGCACATGTGCGTTGTAACGCACCCATCTGATCAACCAATCAGATCGTAAGATCAGGTGTAATGTAAGATCGAAAAAAATAGCGTTTTTTAAAGAAATTGTCTGCAGCTCATAATTTTGCTTATGAAACTACCTTTCGTATTCTAATAAAAAAAATTCCTTGCAAAATTTTGAGGTAAGTACTTCTTTGTTAATGCTTTATCCTAATCATACCATAGCGCACACCTTTACCCTAAACAAATGCGTTACTAGTTTGTTTTGATTTCATGCTATATCTGATCTTATGGGATGCGCTACAACGCATCCGCGCAAAATTATTAAATCCTTTATTTTAATAAATATTTTTCTAAAGAAAAAAATATAAAATAAAATCAATACGATACAAAGAATTCGAATATACATTTTTAAATAAAATGGAAAAAACAAAAGTTTCAGATTATTATAAAATATTAGGTGTGAAAAAATCTGCAATATTTGTAGATATTAAACACACATACAGAAAGCTAATACTTTTATACCATCCGGATAAGAATGTGAATAAACTAATTAAAGAACAACAAGAAGCTGAACAAAAATTTAAACAAATACAAGAAACGTATAATTATATTATTGCTAATCACAAAGAACCAAAACCAAAAAAGAAAAGTTCAACTAAAAAGAATAAACCACCTTTAAAAAAAAAATCAAAAAAATATTATCAAAAAAACAAACGAAACCTCAAACAAAAACTCAAATGATAACAAAAGAGGAGTTAAAAGAGTTATTTAAGGATGCTTTTTTTAAAACAGTATATGATATATTAAATAATTAGATTTTATTTTTCTTTTATTGTAATTAGCGATTACATTATAATATTTACATTTATTACATGTAAAAAACTAATATTTTTTATCATTTGATCTTCTTAAAATGAGATTATTATTAATATCACAATAGCATTCTTCAGTAAAATTATATTTCAAACTTAAAGTAAAATATTGAAAACAACCTATTTTGATCAAAAAATCTGAAATATTTGTTGGTATTTCACGATTAAAACAGATAATAGTATTTAATAAAATAATTCTCCAAAAAGTAAAATTTTCAGTCTTAGCGATATGTTTACTAGTTGAGTAAGATATTTTTTTATAGTTAAGTTGAATAAATCGTAAAGCTAAATCATTTAGATTCATTAAAATATCAATATTAAATAATTGAGAGAATGTTTTAATGAAAAAATTTTTAAAGTATTTTTTAAAACAATGGTTGACAAGACGATGTTTGTCCAATATTTTTTTGGATGGTTTTTCGATAAGATATTATATGTGTTTTTATCGAATATAGCAAGAATACAAATATTTTCGAATATTCGAATTATAATTTCTGTTGGAAACATGTTTAATTTAATTACTAACTATTTATGTACGTATTTAAGTATAAATTAATTTATATTAATTATTTTATACCTAAAAAGTAAATTCCAAATAAAGAAATTCCTTAAAAGTACAGTATTTATTAATTTTTTTATCTTAGAAAAAAATTTTATATCATTGAAAAAGAAAATTCTTATATGGAAAATATCTATAAAAAGGCTCAAAAAAATATCAGAGTTCAACATCGAATTAGTTTTGATTTGATAATGAATACAGTTAGCTTCGCTATAGTTATTCATAAGAAACAAAAAAAATTGGTTCTTAAAATGTCTATAGACAGAGACATTACAACACATTTTGTTCGGTTTGCACCAATCAATTATAAAAAAGTTCATGAATTATTTATCATTAAAAATAGTATTCCATGGTGGAATATTAATTTCAATTGCTTCTATGTGATTCAATATTTAAAACAAACATCTAAAGAAAAATTTGATATGTTGCAACATAGTCGATATATTAAATTTTATGATTTTTTTAGGTGTAAATGTCCTGAAGAATGTCAATTTCGACCACACCTTTAGCAATATGATACTCGTTATAAAGATAATCATTGTCTATTTTATCAACGAAGTAATTATTTTAAATTATTTTAAAGTGTTGATAATTCGTTACTAGTAAAAGAAAAATTAGGTCAGATTTCTGCAAAAGGTGGATTAATGAGATTTAAAAAATATTATCGTATATATAAACTTGATTATGAAATTTATTTTTGGGTTAAGAGTTTCAAAGAAACGGGTTTGACAATTTATAAGGATGAGGTTAAACTATTATGAGAATATAAAAAATATGTGTTTCGTAAAGGAAAGAAAGATTAAATGATAAAGAAATCGTTACAGATATAAATAATCGATTAGTAAAAATCGAAGAATATATAAAATCACCAGAGTATCAACCTGTTTCTCCATCTGTTCAGTCTTCTTGACCAATCAGATTTTTTTTAGCATAAAAAAAATGAATCTCACTGAACAACAATTATATAATTTATTTCTTCAATTTTCACAAAATGTTAAAGAAAAAAATCAAATATTTGATTTTGAAAGTATATCTACATATTTTGATAAAAATCTCCAAATAAACAAATATAATTTTTTCATGAGTGCAAATGACCTCAATTCTGTTAATACAAAACATTAATATACGAGAGGATTAAATCGAGAAAGATGTTGGAATTGTCAAGAAACTTTTACTCATGGATGTTGTGTAGCATGTAAAAAAATCGATTGTGATTGTATATTTATATGTAGATATATATATCCAACACAAAAAAACAAGTATCATAAACTATATTTCATCTGTATTATTAGATATTTCACATGTTTTCTGTTCTTCTTTTAAAAATTTTCTACACATTACTATTTCATGTTCGTTA